GCATATGGAGTTACGGATGGATTACGGAGAACTTGGACAGCGGACCACAGTCCGAAGATTGACAGTTGAGGCCAGGGATTAAATACTATCCCTTTTCTCCCGCCTCAGCGATCCGCACGTCGAACGCATGTCTCTCCGCGGACATGATCTGCAGCTCTCGCCCCGGAACTCCGTCGTCGGAACGTCTCCGGCCGAGTCGCTGGTATTAGTATTTCAGAAACACAACAGTAAATCTATACTACCGGCGGTTAACTGTCTCGGCAAATAAAACAAACAGAATCCTTCATTGCCGTGCCCGGTGAAATGCCGGGGAAGCTTTGGGCATTCCTGGCAGAATCCCGATGGTCGATAAATCTGGTTCTATCTACGAAGCACTCCGTACTGGACACTCAAATCCCTAGGGTTGTGACAGATCACATGCTGCAACACGGGAGATTCACGATGACAATTCCTCTTCCTTGCTAGAATCTTGACGGCTCACAACTTTATTTCCGTGTTTATTTGGCAGTTCCAAGGAATGACTGTCACAGGCTCTGCACGGTGCCGACAATAGGAATGAAACAACGATGTGTGCGCTTCTGACAAACGACTGTGGGGCTTATCATGCATATAAGGCTTGAGGAAGCTTTGGATAGCATCGAGATATACTTAAGCCACCGATGGCATTTGGATACGTTATATAAGAAGAGGTCTGGAACGCGATCTCGCCGCCACCCGTCTCTCAGCATGTTTCCGCTCGACCGGAACACTATTTGGCGACTGGTCTAGCCTTGCGGCAGAATCTCTCCGACGCAACGAGAGATGGTCCTAGTATCTGGGACGATGGACGTATGTTGGTGTCGGTGTGCTAAGTAGATATTGAAAGGGACCCAGGCTATACAAACCACCAATCGATGTGTTTGGTCAGGGGGAACATGCTGACAACTTGGTACAAACTATATAGATTATATATTTTACTACGAGGCGTCCACTCCACTTCTGAGATGTTGGTTCCGTCTCAGACACTTAGGACAATTCAACATGTAGGATTCTATATTAGTCTTTTGGAGTCAACCAAAGGCTCTGGTATAAACGGCTGTACAGTCCTGAAGATTTATTCGATCAGTTGGGTCTACCCAGGGCTAATATATCTCGATCCAGGATATATAGGTCAGCCTATCTGGAAGAGTTCTTCTATATTAAATCTGACTCGCTGGAAGAAAAGTATGGACCAATTGTACGTCATACCCGTCGTTGGAAAAAGAAACACATATGCATTGCGTCAACCTGGAGGGATGGTACACAACAATAGGTGAAACACAAGTTAAACGGAGTGTATGACTCGCCCTGAAGCTCCACTTCAGGATTCTCATTCAATGCTGAAGGAGATCCCAACATGCAAGGCACTGCCTTCTTTCAAACCCGAATTGCGTAGCCAGGAGGGAGTAGATGCCGTGCTTCAAGATGCGAATACCGATCGGTGGTATAAGGCACAGCAGTACCAGGAAACCGAAAGTACTAGGTGCTATTACCATATATATTATATTTTGGTTTAATTGCTTGAATTCTTCGCCTATAGGGAAATATAACTCCGAGATCACTTGTGGGGCATGATGTCTTGCGAGCGATGCTCATGTTTATAGCTAATAGGAGTGAAGACCGTCATTCTGGAGAAATGCCCAAGGCGAAATTTTAGATGGTCCATGAGAAGCCACGTAGTAATTTTTTGGGGTACTCGATTATGTTCAGCGAAACATTCCTCATAGCCCAAAAGTCGACAGCCTTGAGATACTGCTGCATGCATGTTCTCATAATTTTAGCCAGCACCCTTGGGGTACCTCCATTGCACTATTGCTGTACTGAATGGTCCGGATAATCTCGGATCCAGCTCTTCAATCGACAGGTCCACCAGCGTCAAGGGGGTGGAGTATTCAGACTCGAGCCGGGGCAACCCCACCATCCAATAGTGTGTTTTTTTCTAAGGCTGTGGTCATGCTGTGTGTATGGCTTGTTATGTATTTGAACCTGTAAAAGTTACAGGCGGTTTGCTCGTTGAAGATCTTTGGGGGCTTTTAGGAGATTGGTGGCAGATCAGCAGTCGATGGCAGACGACATGATCGGAATTGAAGCCCGCTAACGTAGACTAGGAAAAGCTTCTGTCGTGATCTACATAGACAGTTGGGATTTTCTTGAACTCTTGAATGCTCATTAATATGCTCGTTGTCACGCAATACTTCGAACATCAAAAGCGTGGTAATACTGAGTGGATCACACGACACCACATCTGTATATTACGGTGGGTGCTTCATTTCCACTTTAATCGCCTTCAGATGCCGTTGCAATAAGCGATCTTGTACAATGGAATTGGCTAAACTGTATACCTGACAGATCCTCTGCTATCTATGAAGCTTTGACCAGGGTGGCATAATTCTGAATCTCCCATGCCAGGTGACTGAAAGTACGTTGGAATCTCCAGAATGCGTTATATCTCAATCCAGGACATTGTCATCCCTGCTATGGTCAGTGTAGCGATGATTGAACTGGTTATTTTCGAGAATGAGTCGCTCTGTACGTCCTGATGCATGTACTAATAAATCTATACCACCCCAGGCGCACATTCTTTGGGATCAACTCAGAATGCAATGTTGGATACAGTAGACTGCACGTTTAAAAAAATATACTACACAAGACTAATGCGACTTCTCCTCCGTTGCACATTCGAGTCCGCACAAGACTGAACGAAACCGCACTCAGCATTATCAGGTTCGAATATGAATGCTGAAAGCACGGGCGAATCCTTGGGGCCCTGCAAATTGCACGCCTGTACCCTAGCCGAACAAGTATTTGACGATCTTCGATTAGTTCCGTGCATTTGTCGTCTTCGAGATTCTTCTGGAGCTTAATCCAACGACTGATAGTGCATCTCCTCTTCACAGTCTCCGGGTTTCCTCCAGATTGTCAGCTTCCTCGACAAAAAGTCTCACTGAAAGTATCCGAGACGGTACACCTTTATCGAGTAATTGAGGAATTAGCTCCATTATCTTCTATTAGACGAAGATGCTAACCTACATAAACCGCTTGAAACCAGCGGATGACCAAAGAACCTGCGTTCGTCCAACTCACCTACCTCCCTTAACATGCAGCTAACAATCTCATCCACTGTAACCTCTTGGGTTGGCTGTTTTTGTGCAGCTCGTGTCTTTGTCTATATTACACATCACACTTTAAATAAACATCAGCAAGGTCAGGAACTTGATTGAAGGCTATGTTCCAACATTCCCCAGGGAGGCAGTCACTTGCGAGCATATCATTATTTCAGCCATATCTATAGTCATCGTATTTAACATCAGTCTAGACGTTACATCTAATATCTGCATATGTTCCCAGTCGGAACCCTATCATTCAAAGCGAGCGAGTTAGCTGTAGTATAGTATTAAACACGTTCTATGCGCTCCAACAATTCCAGCTACAGTGCACGCTTGCATGCTTCATACTAAGGCGTATTAGATTGTACCTGAGGTTTTGCCCTATTGCCCTGTTCCGAGTTCCCGTATAGTACTAGGAGAGACGCACCATCCCACGTTGTTATCTTAGAACAATGGGAATCAATAGAAGATAAATGACAGAATTTAGGTCGTGTACAGCCTCAAATCGTAATAGAAAATGAACGGTATAGATTAACAAACGGTTTAATAGGAGGCCCAACTCAATACATAGTGACGGCACTAGTTGATCTGATGATTTGAGAAGCGTTCTTATCAATCGCTCAATATGCATTGGCGATAGTCTCGTTTGAAGCCTGACTCTTGTCTGTGCCTGGTTAGTATGTATTTCCAGCTGCCTGAGCTTCCAGAAGACATCCACCGACAAAGTCTCCATACAGATATACGCACCTTGTCCCCTTCGACTATCCTTGCGCATATCTCCCAGGTTGAATGGAAGTTAATCATGCAACCTGCAATTTCCTGTCAAAGCCCCGTTGGAATTAAAATATTCAAGGGAAAGCTCCGTAAAGGACCTGGTTGTTTTCTGCGTTGCACTCTGGCCGAAGAAATCTTCCGTAATCTACCACATAATAATGCTCAATCTTGCTGAATGAGTGTTGTGAAACGTCGGATTTATTGCCCCAATCCAAATTCAGTGACACAAGGTTGAGTGACAAATTCAATAGTGTTATATGTGTTTTGTGCGAAACCTCTGTGTCACTATCACCCGAATGCGAGTCTTGTAGGCAGGTTCAAATACAAACGTATCCAAAAACCGTCTATAAGCCTTACTACATGGCTCCTCGATAAGACTCGAGCATTGTAAACACAATTTTAATCACCATAGCCTGGCAGTTGAGCTAGCTTTAACATATAAGACATCTAACACATCAACAATGTCGAATAGCTGTGGAAAACTTTAGGTATGACTATTACAATCTCATTTTCTCACCCGTACCATAGATTGTTTGCCACTCTCAAATAATATGTAGAATTGTTTCACGTAGAGCCTGTTGAATGTGGTACACTGCATAATGTCCAACCTGCTAGCTCGACTGCGGGTAGGGTCTTATGCGTGTATAAATACGTACAAGAGGTCCAACGCCGTCGACTACTTACTTCAGCTAGGATCACCACTAGTAGGTGAAATGACGAGTTGTTGCTAACAACCCCGCACGACTGCGCCTTTTGCGTTTGAATGATGGCACTCTAATTTGTTGAGTGTATAAATTAAATTTCGCTTGGACGTACGCCAAGTACTCAGAGAACCTCGGTTGGCTTGTAGAGGTCATTCACATATATCTAGGTAGAAACATGATTGAAGCTTGCGAAACTTGACCCCAGTCAGTCACCACTCCCAGTGTATGCACTGGTGATGTACCTCAGATACCAAAGTGAAGCAAAGGTATGTTGGGGCATTTGTAGCTCGTTACTTCTACATTCATGTTACAAACAATCATTCAAGAGAACTTCTAGTTTTGGTTGACAGTTTCCTTTTCAGTCATCTGTAGCATACGATATTAGCTACCTAGCAACATGGACAAGATGGTCGATGCAGATAGCAAACCCATTGCTAGACACGATACTGAAGTCCTGTCCGAGCCTTCCCTTCCTCGGGGCAAGATATCGCTGCTAGCAGATATCAAACGATCCCCGAAGGTGGCAGGATATTGTCTCGCCCTTACTTCCGGCATTATCTTATACGGCTACGATCTGGCCATTGTATCCAATGTCTCCTCTATGCCTGAGTTCCAGTGAGACCCCTTCTACCCGTTTATATTCACTGCGTGTTCTAATAAGGACAAGGCGCGACTTCGGTCGCAAGCTCGATGGCAAACTGATCATTCCGTCCCTCTGGCTGGGTCTCTGGAATGTTGCCAGCTATCGGGGGCATGCTTGGTGCCGTTTTCGGGGGTTACGTGCAGGACCGCTTTGGCCGACGCTCCTCTCTGGCGCTCGCAAGTATCATATCGGCAATGGGTGTGGCGGTCGCCTATGTATCGAATCTCCCTGGCGGGATTGATGGCCGGCGAGCGGTCTTCTTCGTAGCCAAACTAGTCCAGGGCTATGCCGTCAACATGTTAACGTGCACAATTCAGACATACATGTCCGAAGTCCTGTCTCCCACGTTGCGAGGCCCCATCCTCGCCTTCTTCCCCCTCTTCACATTGCTGGGCCAGCTAATCGGCAGCATCGTCGTCTTCACGTCTCTGAAGGAGAAAGGCCCCGGTGGCTACCTGAAGTGTTTCATCTCACAATGGCCGTTCTCAGGCTTGCCCCTTCTCGTCTCCATTCTTCTCCCCGAAAGCCCAACGTGGCTCATCCGCAAAGACCGAATGGACGCAGCCCGGAAATCCCAACGCCGCCTAGACACCCCGAGAGTGGACTCGGAAGCAGCCATAGAGAAGCTGTGCTCGTCCATTCGGCACGAGGATGAGCAGGCGCAAAACCATCCAGCCGGCTACATCGAATGCTTCCGAGGCAACAACCTCCGTCGGACCATGATTGTCTTATACGCTAATCTGATCCCGCAGCTGTTCGGTCTGACCCTCATGTCCAAATCTAGCTATTTCCTGCAGATTGTCGGCATGGGCGCAACCAATAGTCTTCTGTTCCTCGAGGTTGGGATTGCGCTTGGTCTGATCGCCAACATACTCAGTATGTGGACGCTATCTCGGTTTAACCGCGTGCCACTTATCATGTTCGGGTTGGCGATCACGACTGTCCTGTGGACTGGCATGGGCATACTAGGCTGTTTCCAGGGCGTGGTGACTATCTGGTAAGTCCCATCACGAATATGTTTGCGCTTTGTATTCGACTAAGACTCGGTATTCAGGTGGTCCGCAGTCACAATGATGCTCGTCATTACGTTCTGCGGCGCAACGGCCTGGCCAGCATCCTATGCCGTCGGGGCCGAAGCATCTTCGCTCCGTCTGCGGGCTACATCGCAGGGCTTGGGATGGGTGATCAACGGATTATCCAACGGGGTCTTTGGCCTCGTGTTGCCGTATATATTTAACCCAGACGAGGGTGATCTGCGTGCCAAAACAGGGTTTGTGTATACGGGCTTATGCCTCCTAGGGCTGGCGGGAACATGGTATGTCGTACCCGAAATGAAAGATCGGACACCGATGGAAATCGATCGGATGTTTGAAATGCAGCTCTCTGCGCGGAGGTTCAAGACGCAGACGTTCGACGATGAGAGCGTAAGGGCTTCTTCTCCCAAGAGTGGGACCACAACTCCTGTGTAGATGGTCTTCTGCTCAGTTACAACGCTCAAACATCATGTTATCAATTGTTCAGCCTTGCAAGTGACTTTAGTTGGTTTCTATCTGCCGTATTTATCGAATCAATGCTGAAATTATCTGAAACACGCGCGAGAGAAGCTAGAAGGCTGATACATCAAATTCTTGCGTAAAACATAGTCATCAATTTAGTTTTATGTACAGGTTTGGCTTGTTTTGACTTTGATCAACTTAGTACAATAGCAACGCGTATGCTATACTGAACAAGTCGCATTTCTTATGAATCCAGGGCGTGTACTCGCAGCCCTGGGATATTCACGCGCATCTCGAGACATGCCTCGGAAATGCAAGGGTAGTACCTTCCCAACTCTCTTGCTTTTCTCGTCAATGTCCTGCCCCAATAGGCTTTTCCAGGGGCCTGCGTATGAGAAATCAGGGCCTTCGCGTAGCCAGCTAATCCCTCTGTAGATTTTGTGTATTTTACACAGATCCAGGAGTAGTGGTCATGGAACGGCGCTAACGCCGTCGCTGTGGAGATAAGCACTTGGTGAGAGCGTTGAGCTTCAGGCGTGCAGGGCAAAGCTGCTCTATCACTTAGTCGCAGCCAGGTGGAGGCCCTTCTTGCTACCCTTCGTGTAAACACGTTGGTCATTGGGGTCGAAGCCACCGTTACCCCACAAAGCCCATTCTTCCGTCTCCCTCATGTAGTCTTCAGGGCGGAATGGCGTACCGTCGGCTTTCTCCTTTTCCAGGAGTTCAAAAAAGCGATCGTAATCAATGCGAGAATGCCATTTACCATTCACATGGAACCGCGTCGAAGCAAGCAGCGCACAACAACTGTGGGCATGCTCGGCAGCAATTCCGTAGTCCAATCCGCGGCGCTCGAGCTCCTTATTCAAGGACACAACGAATTCCTGAATCTCTTCATAGAAAGGCACGTTTTGCATGGTTAATCCTACTCCGGCACTAGTGCTAGTGCCGCAAAAGGTCACACCTTTGATTTCAATGAAGCACGGCAACGCTTTCTCGACCAGATTCGCGTATCCAACCACCTCATCGTCGACGTTAAATCCTTTAACCAAGGTGAGACGGAAGACAGTCCGCTGGACGTGACGCTTTTCCCGCAGGATATCCAGGCACCGCTGGAATCGTTCCCAGAAGTCTCGGTGAAGCGGGCGGTCAATCTTTCGCAGACTTTCACGGTTGCTAGCATCGATCGAGACGTACAATTGGGTCACACGATGCAGCGTTTCAAGTTGATCGGGATGTTGAGCGTTGCACACCAGGAGCTAGAGATGCGCTCGCTGTGTAACATGTTCAAAAATTCATTAATATGAGGGTAGAAAATCGGCTCTCCGACCAAGCTCAGGGCGCAGTGACGAATACGCATCGCCTCCGCGAATCTCTCTGCACGGACACCAGGAACACCACGCATCATTTTGATCTTTTTGTAGTGACCCTCCTTAATGCCTTGGAAAATCAACTCTGGTGAATCTACCTTCCAGCGCCAAGTCGTCCCGACAGGGTTGGTGCCATGACGCCAACAGAAAATACATTTGTTGCTGCAAGAAAGCGAAGGAGTTGCCTCCATACACAGATGGGATCGAATACCGTAGAACGAGAACTTGTAACACGAACCTCGGCCACGCAAAGCGGACTTGGTCCAACGGCAGATCTTTACACCGGAGTGAGAGCCGACGATAGTATATCCTTGTTTCGTGAGCGCAGCGTATGTGGGCGATGTCTTGGGAACCATTTCCTTCTCAGTTGATTGGCTGGGTGCCGCGGACTTGCCCACTGTGGTAAAGTCCACCGGGACAGGACCAGATCCAGTCTGTCCATCAGAGCCCATCTTGATATCCTCTAGATCAACTACATCTTGGCCATTGCGTCGTTTAGTGCCTTTTCCGTCGTTCTCTTCGTCATCCAGGTCCTCCTCGTCACTCTCGAGCGGATCGCCGCTACCAGGAACACCTTCACCGAGGCCACCATTATCAAGAATGTCGAAGAAAATGTCCTGTAACCCGCGGGACCACTCTTTGAAGGCAGATTCAGCATCACTCTTGACGTCACCAAATCCCAAAGGATACGCTCTCTTTTTGCCAGTAAGTTTTGCCATCCAACGATCCAATTCCTTGGCTTGCGAGCAGAATCCTTCTTCCTCGGTAGGCCAACCCTCTTTATCACCGAACCCAAAAACTGAATAACCAGCCAATGTTGACAAAGACGAGGTATCAATGCGGAAATCATGGTGGGTTTCATCCAAATGGCTAAGGAAAGTGTTGAGGATGGTGTCGATGTTGTAGGTAGGGATCAATAAGCAGTATACATAGCGTGTGCCAGGAGAGGTGGGCGGAGGCTTCGGCGCCGTGGTGAAGTAGTCGTCAAAGTCAATATATGACAGGTCGTGGATTTGGGGAGGAAGAAGACCACGCTCACGGTTCTCGGGATCGGCTCTCTCCTTCGCTGCTGTCCGCAGATCCTCCAGCAATATCTGAGCGTATCTCTCCGTAGTAGTAGTCAACGAGGCGAAGAAAATGATAGGCTGGATGAAAGACAACGGAGGTTCCTGGTCCTCCCGACGGCGTCCAGCAACCTTCAGTGGCTTTTTCCCAGATACTCTCTTAGGCCCAGATACAACCTTCGGGACCGGATCATTTCTAACAGCAGGCTTTGGAACACTTTCCTCCGCGACTGCCGGTGTCTCACGCTCACCAGTACGAATCTGTTCGAATTTCTCTGGGGTTTGGCTCCGAGGGGATGGCGGGATTGAGGACGCGGTTACGGCTTTGGACTTGGGTTGGAACCTACGATAGGCTTGCAGAATAATAGCGACAGAGGCGATAGCGATAAGAATAGGGAGACGGTAGGAATGCCAGAGGGTCACAAGACCTAAATTTCATCAGCAAGGTGGTTTGTGTGAAACGATGAAGATAACAAGAAATATACCTTCGGTCAGGAAGGGTTCGGCCATGATGAGTTAGCACAGCTACGACAAGTCTTTGCTCGCCTAATTTCTCCGTGCGAGGTCAACGCCTCTTCTTTGTAGAAGATAAGGACTCAGAGCGGAGTGGTTAAGAGGGGCAGTGGGGAAACCTGCAGTGGCATCGCAGATTCCTCCAGGTTGAACAAAGCTCTTCTGACAAAAGACTCGGTAATGGCTGCGACTATGAGAGACACAGCATGGGTAGAGTCTTCCAACGGGGGGTTTTGGCGAATGGCCGTGGTTGAGTCGAGGAAGATATCGAAATACCAAAAAGTTGATGTTGAGAAACTTCGATGTCACGAGGAATTTTTCACCTTTGCGCTGATTGGCTCCCGCATGGTTACCAGATCGGGCCCTTGCATGCCTTGACACCTGATTTAAGTCTCGAGTTTCGGTTCAGTTCAACTCAGGTCCTCCTTCATCCCAGCGAGACGGTTTTGTATCGACCAATGCGTTGTGGTACTATACATTAGCTAGCGATTTTGGCAAGTTTCTCTCGGCAGACTATCTATCCATCGAGTAAGTCAAACTTCATACTTCACGCTTCTCGATCTCTACCCCAACGCGGAGTATATCAACGCTATTGTGTTAGTTACGATAACGCCATACTTACTAAGACGAGGGTCTTTAATAACCTGCGATAGCCGCCTCAATCCGTTTTCCCAGTATTAGCTGCATTGCAATTTGTATCCAGCAATACTACTGGCACACGTCAACCAGCGCATGCAAGGGTTTTGTACAAAATACGAGGCTGTCAAATTAGTTCTGTCCCAGCACATATATAGATCACTGCGAGTCCACTAGGCAGGATGCGCGATAAGGGTGATCCATTGTCCAAAGAGAAAACCCACCTTTCTCACTTCTTCAATCTCGAAGAGCAGACCGTCACGCAACCTCTTCCAGCAAGGCTCTCCGTCGGTCAAAAAATGGAGCGCGCTCTCTACTTTATATTCCTAGCATTCTTCCTCGTGATGACCGCACATAGTCTCCGGTTGGAACCCCTAGGGATAGGCATCTCACAACATCATAAACCCTTGACCCTGGAACAAAGAGTAGACCGTATATTGCATCAAACTCCATTGATCGGTAAGATACAACGACCGTCAGCTACTTGAATGTCAACTTGCTAAAGCGGAAAGTGCAGATGGTCATGATGATCTTCCCATTCTCATCCGCCTCAAGTATGGGAATCAAATTTATCAGGACAATTTCACTACGAAATTCACTCATGGTGACTTTCCCGGACACGTTGATCTGCCTCGTCTTTCCAAGGGCAGAGTTGGTGGCACGTTCTGGAGCGTGTTTGTGGAGTGTCCTAAAGATTGGCAGGACTTTTCTGATGCCAACTACGCTCTAAGTAAAAAAAGTTCTCAGCGTATCTCTCCAATCACAGTTGACTAATATCTATCAGGTGTACGCCAGACAATGGAGCAGGTAGACTTATGGCTCCGCCTGCAGCAAGCCTATCCGGACACCTTCTCCACGCCCCCAAATGGTACCACAGCTCTTCAGCCCTTCCTGGACGGGAAGATCATCTCGCCGATGGGAATGGAGGGCCTCCACTCCATTGGGAATTCAATTGCCCATCTACGTCATTTCTACGCGCAGGGCGTATCGTATGCGACGCTGACCCATAACTGCCACAACCGTTACGCTGATGCTGCCGTCACCGAGCTCCCGGACGGCAGCGTGAAGAAAGCTGACCCCCTTTGGCACGGTGTCAGTGAAGCCGGAAAGGCCCTCGTTACCGAGATGAATCGCCTCGGGATGATTGTTGACCTGTCCCATGTAAGCGCCGAGACTATGCGAGACGTCCTGGGCGCAGGCAAGGACGACTGGGCGGGCAGTAGTGCGCCGGTCATCTTCAGTCATAGCTCCGCATATGCCATCTGCCCTCATCCACGTAACGTCCCCGACGATGTACTGAAGCTGGTCAAATCACGAAATTCGTTGGTGATGGTTAACATTGCCCCGGACTTTGTCTCGTGCAAGGCTGGTGATAACCCGAACGGTCTCCCTGACTTTGTCCCCGATAATTCTACTTTAGAACATGTTGCTGACCACATCATGCATATCGGGCATCTGATCGGGTTTGACCATGTTGGGTTTGGAAGCGACTTTGACGGCATCGGCTCTGTTCCTCGCGGCCTGGACGACGTCTCCAAATTTCCAGACTTGGTTGCGGAGCTCCTCAGAAGGGGTGTCAGTGATGAGGATGCTGGCAAGGTAGTAGGAGGTAACTTACTGCGCGTTTGGAAAGAAGTAGACCGTATTGCTCTTGAGAAGCAAGCTAACGGAGCTCTGCCTCTGGAGGATGATCTGTCTGAGGCGTAAACACGGCCCACCCAAAGTCTTGTCCCGCTTTCCTATCTGTGTGGATACATAATCTTTACCACTGTCCTCCAAATATGTGTAACTATGGCTATACATCATATTATACCAAGCACTTGGTCACTCCGTCGAATGAATTCAGCAAGACCTTAGTACATACCTATAGTTTAGTAGGCTCTAAAAACATTATGCTTGGTTTCCTTTAACGTCTCTCATCACTCTATGTTCTTAAAACTGTAGCACGGATGCCTCCATCCATACTAGAAATCATTGAGCCACCATTCGAAATGCCTTCATAAGATTCCTACCCTCGTCCTCCAAAATCTTATATTTCCCCTTTCCGTCCAATCCCAACTTCACCTGCTCTTCCGTTGCCCACTCATACGCTGAATGCTCACTCGGCTCCAGCCGGACTCGGTCCTCCCACCCCTGCACAGCATCTCCTTCAACCTCAACCGTCTTCTCGCCTTCCGTCCCAGCAATCCCTCCAAAGACGCCTTGAGCCTCATGAACCTCCACCAAGAACGTAAACTTGGCCACAAACGACATCGTCCCATTCTTCTCTTTCGTCCACTCTTCCACTCCGACCAAATCCACAATCCTCGACACATGCAACCCGCTTTCCTCCACGACTTCACGCACAGCGGCTGTGAGAATCGTCTCGTCCGTCTCCTCGCAGCCTCCACCGGGGCCTTCCCAGTAACCGGGCAGGGAATCAGTCAAAGCACGTTGGAGGAGGAGGACTCTTGGTTCGCCTCCCTCATTGCTTTTGTTTTGGGAATCACGAGAGAAGACAAGTCCCCCGACTATGAAGTTGGTCCATTGCGCCTGGCGGCTTTGAAGCTGGAGAGGGGGATGTTGTACTCGTCTAGATGAGGTGGGATGGTGAAAGTGAGATTATGAGACATCCTTCGGATAACTTTTATTGTCTGGTGTGGTTGTTTAATGGGTCAATAGATGTCGGGTTGTGGGGATAAATAATTCGGGATTGGCGTTGATTGTATTCAATTAAATATATTTTGTGTTTTATTTATGCCTAGGGTTTACGGAGATCGGATGACTCATAAAGCACGATAAGTACCCCACATTCTGTATATGATTGGCATTCTGGTTCATGAATACGGTCGTTGTTCTATTTATACTCGGGAGGTGTCCTTGACGATGGAGCCTTAGCAGACGATAAGCTTTAATAATATTAATTCAAGCCTGTGGGCCGTAGTATACATATATCCCTGGAAGGGGCAGGATAAGTGAAGACATATGTGTATATATATACCAGCCAACAACGTCATTCATCTTCAGTTAAAAGGGTAGTAAAGCTAGTTTTCCTTTATTAGAACTAGTTTTATCCTTGGATGATTATGGACGCCCGATATCATATTTCTAAGCTTCCAAATCAGTATCTACCGCCTGCAACTGGCACATCTTGAGACGGTTGATTGTACTGAACAATTTATTCGCCTTGGTCGTCTTTCTCCTCTGCAAATGTCATCCCCCTCGTGAACTCTTTCCCTGTTCAGCATACAGATGGGTTCATGAGCGTCAAAAAGGTTGCCACTACACATATCACCTCAAGTCATTCTACGGTGTAAGCGACCGAGGGGTAGGATTGTTCTGCTCAGTTCTGCTCAGCCAACAGTCCAACAGAGCTCCAAGCTTGGATGGGCCATATTCTATATTTTGGGAGATAAGTGAGCAACATTAAACACACCGAGGGTGGGTATCTAAGGGACTTAGAAAGAATGAGGATTCATCTAGGTCTTAGTATACAAGTAATCAAATGCTATAAAATTAGAGGAAAGAAGAACAAAAGCACACGAAGAAGTATTTGAGAGAAAAGAGGAAGAAAATTCTTTGTCATCATATTGAACAACTTGCATACTCGTACTAGTTGGTCTTGAAAAATGGGATTCTTTGACAAGTCAGTACAACGGATGTAAAGATTCTGTCTGGTCGGACAGTAAGTTATTAGATACCTATCTCGCTTTCCAGTAGACACCCATTTCCACGGCGATGTGGACGGGGATTGTCGGGTTATATGAATGATATATGCATTGGAGAAGAAGTAATCGGTCCATAATATGGAAGGTATCGTTGCTTTGGCTTTGAGGGTCATATTAACATTGAGTTGTAGAGGAGAGATGAACCGGCATGCATTGCGCTCAATGGAGGATGGACAAGGTTAAGATATATATACGAAAATATGTAACGTGTTAAGTATATACTCTATACTCCATATCTTTCATGCCCATGGCGATTAATTTGTGCCTATAAAATGACTAGAAAATGGTGGTGGAGACAGTGAGCACATTTGCGCTGATAACTCAGGATCAGCAGGACCGCTAAACTATGCATTACATGAGTGAAAATGAGGCCTTTTATGTTCAATACAATTAAGACGTAATGTATTACAGGGTCTCAAACTCATCCTGGTCTACAGATGTATTCTGGCGATACTTCGGTATATAGTCATGTACACTTTGCATGGCGGGTAAAGCTTCTGCAGCAAGGAGATGATTCAAATGCACCTCGTATCGGTGAGAAGGAGACGAAATGGCGCTGCATGTACAAACAGTGCACATAGGATCCAGTTAAAATCTCAGATAATCTTAGCTCATGTAGTGCTCATGCTATTTATCAATCAGACCATATAACATTAAACGAGCCCTAGGAGACATATGCCCAACACCCCATTCCACCTACAATATAAACTGGAACTCCACCAGCTCACCGGAAGCCCGAATGTTCTTCATTTCTTTGCCTGCGGCACTGTATGAATACAAACATGCAAAATGAGACAAATGGCCATGGCCATGATCACGGCCACCATGACATGTCGATGCCCGCCATCTTCACAACGGGAACGAAAGTAACGTTATTCTTCAGCATCTGGACGACCAACTCCACTGCCACGTATCTCCTCACCCTGGCATTTTTATTTCTGCTTGCCTTGTTCAACCGTTTCCTCGGGGCACTCAAGTTTCAAATAGAACATAAGATGAACTCAACCCGCGTGTCTGGACTTCCCGTACCAATTCTAGGACAACCACCCGCATATCGACACAGAAAGGTCCCTAAGGATCGAGCGAGCCCTCTTCCGCGGTACATACAAGTCGACATGAACGATCCATTCGAAAGACCATCGCCACCACCTCCCTCTCCTCCACCCTTGCGTGACGATGAGCAGAGCGAGCTGGTACCTGGCCGCGCAGGGCTGTCGTGCTTCCGGAGGTGGTTCACAATACTTTTTGGGAAATGGTCCCCAAGTGGCCCATGGAGTTGGCAGCAAGACGGAGGACGATCACTACTAGAGGGCCTTCGTGCGCTGCTGGGTTATGTCTTGTGAGTAAGGCGCCATTGATATACTGTTACTAAAAGCTAATTGATTTTCTCAGAATGTTGGCAGTCATGACTTTCAACATTGGCATATTGTGCGCAGTCCTGGCTGGCATCATTGTGGGCGAACTCACGATGGGGAGATTTACTCAGCAATCGCCGGGTTGGCAGGATGGATCATGCCACGATGGATGATAACATGACATTTGGATTCTATTTTATTCTCCCTTCATTCCCGTGTGGATAATCAAACATCTCGTAACTGTGTGTGAAATCTCCAAAAATTCCTGAGGGGGGTAGGTAGAGAATATTTGGAATTTTGAAGCTGGATTGCGCTTCTCTGGAGTAGACGTATGAAAATTCACGGCATCATCCATGAAATTTGTTTGCCCAAGATAAACCCAATAGTGGAAATGACAATGCCAGCACTACACTAGTCATCATGGACAAGCCCAATTCATATTCGTGCAGAGCTCAGACTCAGGATATACCCAGTTGTTGAGATGTTTGAGCGTGCAATAGTTGGACTGTAGCGTTGGCGCCCTATAAGCCCCTTAAACCCGCATATAAAATGCAACATGAATAATCTTCTCAATTATTCTCAGCCCCAAGCAAGGGTGATATGAGTCCACAAGCCAATTAATTGTAACTCTGCTCTTCTTCGTTGTATAGGTAACATTTCTTTTTCTTATTTTTGAGCATTGAGAAAGTTCCAACCTCCACTCCACTCTCTTACAGGTTGGTACAGACAACCTTTTATTCTACCAGCCAGATTCCCAGAACATGGTGACGATGCGATCCTCCAGGTTCCCCAAAGCTCTCTCAGCTTCACATGCCAACTATGTCATATTCTTCTCTGATTAGCACGATGCATACACAAACCCCTCTCCTCCTCCATCTTATCCCACTCCAGGCTCAGGACCCCACATGGCTATAGCCACTGTACTCTGCAGCGTTTTGTGGTGAAATCAGTTCTATATCACCAGCATATACCCATCTTTGTGATACGCATAACGAAGCATCCCATCCACGGCAATGTATCTCAAAAAGATATCGTGCTGGCCACATACAGTCTTCCCTATAAAGCACCTCCCGGGCTACACCAGGCCCTCTTCGCAAACTCCATGCATTCCAAAGACCAATACCTACAATATTCCAGAAAAACCATCAATCTTAATAAAAGATCAGCCCCGACTATCCTCACCACTTAGCCTAGCGCCGTATCCCATCCTAGCCCGGCGCCAAGCAGAGCTATACAACCAAGCACGAGACGACCTCATACGTCAACACCAGCGAAACAAATGGCACAACACCCACTCGTCTCTTCCCAAAAAAGTCCGATTGCATTTCTCCGAACTAGTACTATCAACATATGATAACCACATCGGATGGACGGGTTCCAAACGGAGACATGATTCCCAGATCCCAGCACGAAGTAGATCCGGTTTGGAGCAGGATTTGCAGCATCAACGATTGATTATATTGTTATTCATCGTGGGGGCGTTTATGCAGGCTTGCTTCCTCACGAGCCAAAATTACAAGGATGAATTTCCTGCGGAGGATGTTAGTAGTCAGGGTGGTGGGCGATTGATTGAGTCTCGGAGACGGCGAGCGAGTTGTTTGGGGTTTGGCGATGCCCAGGTTGAGAGATTCTTATTGAAGAGGGATCCATCCGGAGAGGGAGTGACTGGATCTGAGAGGACGGTGTATCGGGAGGCCTTGCCTTATTGTTCCTATGGTGGGTGAATTAAAGGAAGTGGGATACATGTGCTTAGGCATATAGAAGGCTCTTCATTGTTCGTGATCTTGATATCTAAATGGGTTATACACCACATAGGATGCTTATTCAATGCAAGCAACAGCTTATAATTTGCTCCCCGGTCCAGCGTTTTCGCCCTGAGGAATTAAAAACCCTTCAAAGAATCGGCCTATCTGCTGGTAATCGTCTAGTCCGATCACGGCGGAGACATCTATTTTGGTCAATTATTGTCGTTCAAATATAGAATGGAGGGGGCAAAACTTACATTGATCTGGTCTGACAATCACAATTGCGCCGTTCTCGGGGCCAATACCAAGGTACTCGTATACACGGCCGTGACCTTTGTTGTAACTTTCGTCATCGAAGTAGATTTTGTGCAGATCTATTCATCAAGTGAGCTTTACGCCACATACTTGCCGGGGGCGGGAGTTCCTTACCTCTGATTTGATTCTTTCCGGTGATTGGGTGGAAAGCCTCTGGGATTTCTTCCAGTTCAATACCGTGTCGCTTCCCATAGCCCACTAGGATAGGCTCAATCACGCTGTCAATGTCGGCATCTTTCTGGCGGAAGCGGTGCAATGGGCTCTCATCTGAGCTTAAGTAGTTTCCAAGCTGCGTATGTCAGTCAGGGCACGGAAGATGAATGGAATACCTCCAAACTTACTGCGTTCAACTTGGACTTGTTTTCAGGTTTGCTAATGTCACCCACAAAGGCCATGACTCGCCAGCGGCCATCCGACTTCAAAGCTGTCATCAACTGTACGGGTTTTGAGTCGCAGTACCGCACCACTTGGGAACTGGGTAACCTCATGCCAGTCACAATATTAGTAGAAAGTTGTTCTGATCCCTCTGTGTGGAATGTGATCGCAGAGCTGTCGTATTTGGCCGTCAAGCCAGCAGTATATTTCCCGGATTTAATGAACCCTTCCTGGAACTCAGCTGGGGATGTCTGGCCACCAGACGAGAAAAGCTTGGAGAAATATCGGTCGAAATTGATCAGATCAATAGCTACCTTCTGTCGCTCAACGACATACGTCTCTAGCAAGGACGGAGGCGCTAATCCTTTCAAGACAGCAGCCAACTTCCAGCCGATATTGTATCCATCCTGCAAGCTGACATTCATGCCCTGGCCGGCCTTGGGAGAATGGGTGTGACAGGCATCACCCGCCAGGAAGACGCGGTAATCCCTATGGAAGAAGTCCGCATGGCGCTGACCAATAGCATAGGCGGACCACCACACCGTCTCGGCGAACTCGATTCTGTACTGACTGAGGATAGCCTTAGCAGATTGTTGTAGATCCTCTAGCTTGACTTCTTTGGCCTTGGTCCCTGCAGGCAGCTCGATGTAAAACCGTGTTAAATTGCGGGCATCGCCTTCACGAGGAATGATCAACAGGTTACCCGCCTTGGAGCGGACGGTGGTCTTCTTCCGGATATCTGGGAAGTCCGTCCGGGGTACCATATCCATAACACCCCAGACTGCGTCGCTGCTGTCACCAATCATTTTATAACCCAGTGAGCGACGGACAGTACTGTGTGCGCCGTCACACGCCTATAGCAAAGAACGTTAGAACATGAGAGAGGACAACACTTTGGAGAAAACGAGTTAAACATACAAGAGCATATTTCGCCTCGAAGACCTCAGTTCTCCCTTCCTTTTCAGCCGTCACCTTCACCGGATACGACTGTGGGTCATTGACGAGCGAACTATCAACCTCAACGTTCTTGATGTCAAACCCATAATCGATTATTTGGTCATTGAACCGCTGCATAGACTCGATGAATAACCCATTAATACGGGCCTGGTTCAAAATCACATGCGGCTGATGTGATAGCCCTGGCTGTGTATCTGCCGTCCGACCAGTACGTTTGATATCGCCGGAACCATCAGCAGCCCAGAATACAACCTCCAGGACATGGTAGGACTCGCGCAGCAACTCTTCGCCAATTCCGAAACTCTCAAAGATCTCCACGGTGCGGCACTGAACGCCATCCGCCTGCCCCATGGTCATAGGGCCGTCGCGGCGCTCAAGCACTTTACAGCGGATCCCACAGCGCGCGAGCCATGTGGCAGCGCAGAGGCCTGCGGATCCGCTTCCGCAGATAAGGACGTCAACTTTCTCGACCATGACTACCTCGGCGAGTATGTGAGTACCCTTCGGCGCTTTATAGTGAAAATAGGGGTAATACTTCAATGAATTGGGAAACTCTCCGTTTGTCTGGCATGTGCAGTCATCGGACTCTTAAATTTGGGGGTCCGGAATGCATCCCGGGGTATCCCGGGGTATGCACGGGATGGATTCCGGGGTCGGCATCCGCACGGCAAATCATCACAGCCCTCGGCCAGGGTCTTCTTCCTCCACCATTTCCGCCCCGGCTGTGGAGAAAAGATACACATCAGCCCATCATGTGGAGGAGATGCGCTGGGGATGAGAATACGGACAAATTAGCGGGTTTCGCTTACTGTAGGAGGGCTTCCCGGTCAGGGTAGCCCTTGTTCGCCATATGTCACCACTGGCCGAGTTCATACTTCATGAAACTTCATTTGACGAAATATCCAACATGCGTCCTAATTTCCAAGCATGACCATCGTTAAATGTGCTCTAATATCGTTATATAACGTGCCTATCATCCGTCACTCTCTGCAGAGCATATCACATGAACGGTTTCTCCGAACGCCAGCGCCGGGTGTAAATCGAATATTCACCATGTCACAGCATGCCCTTCCATATGCCCAAAAAGAAAACTGTGCAACGAAAATCAGACCATGCAATAATTTACAGGAAGTACTCGCTACGGCCCGGCCGCGATGTGGGCACATGCCGTTGGTCATCGCTGACAGCACTAAAGAGCTTGAATGTCGGTTTGAGATCCTCACCGATCTCACAAACTGATGCCAGGTTGCCACATCGGTAGCAGTAGTTAGGTGCACTCCACACCGTCACCACGTTTTGGTTAGCAAAGTGGTATTTGTATCCCTCGTTCACCAGTTGGTGCGCACGGGCGATTAGTGTCAGATCATTGACGTGACAGAACTCATCTGCCACCTTATCTCCAAAGAGCCAGCCTACATATGCATTAGTCATTAAAAGGCCCAGCGTCGCGTGAATTGAAAGTGACGTACCAGCGCCTCTTGGGCTGACTGCCCATGTCTCTACATCATCAGGGTCGGACCAGACCAGGTCGCAGAAAGCACCCTCGTGCGGAATTTCTTGGGCCCTTGCCACTACACGAACTTGGTCCAAGGTCCTGATCTCCGGGCTTAGGCCACCATGTACACAGAGCACCCTGCCATCAATGATAGCACCAAGTGTCATGAAGTCAAAGACCTGGCAACAGGCCTTCCAGACCGATGCATTGCCGTACTTCTGGAAACACTCTTCGTAGAAGCCGTAGACTTGCGTGATCTGCCGGGACTCGTGATTCCCGCGCACCAGCGTTACTCGATCCGGATACCTGCCGAAGGATTCGTTAGTATCAGTTCCACCAAAAGGCCGAGCACGAGTATGACTGACTTGGCCTTCAAGCATAGTAGTAATGTCAAAGTCTCCAGACTAAAGTATCCTCGGTCGACATAATCACCCAAAAAGACGAAATTCCGATTCAGCGTCACCTCGTTCGATCCGGCGCTTGAAGCACGCTCTCTTTGTGAGCTCGTCTCGTCGCCACCTTCTGAATGCGATCCAGAGTTTCTCAACCTTTTCCGCAGTTTGGGGTCCGTAATTTCCGAGGGAGGCTCGATATCAGCTGAAGTGATCACAGACGGTGATGTTTTCGGGGGTTCGACCATAGACTCGTCCGGCATGCCGCCCGAGACGCGGAACAGCTCCAGTAGATCGTAGAATTGGCCATGGATATCTCCGCAGACTGTGACGGGCGTCGAGACCGGCTGTACGTTCGATTCTAAGCGCGCGCAAAAGTGAGTCTCGGAGGAACAAGCACGGATCTCATTTGACGGGCTGCTTACCTTCCATCATGTACTCCTTCACAATCTCACATAGTTGTTTCATATGTTGCTCTGAAAGATACTTGCAATCTTTTGCAGCCTCTAACCATTCGTCGGGACCGGCATTGCGCCTTAATTTGGCCGGTCCTGGCTGTGGGACTTTACTATCGACCATGGTGAGAGTCGAAAGCGCTGAGTAAAGGGGGGGAATTGAGGGGTAGATCGACAGAAGGAGAGAAGATAGAGGCTAGACTGGACGGTCAAAAAGAGGGGGAAGGGACGATTGAAAAAGGACCGTCTAATTGCAGCAGGGGCGAATATCTAGAACGTCGCAAAGGTTGGATTGAATCATTAATCAAGATCAAGTGACGCTTTTCCCCACACGTGGTGGTTGGGTATCTCGAGGTCGCGTGATTGGTCGCTCTGGTGTCCCGTAACCGACTTGCCATGCTTTTGCTGTTCACGGAGTCTCTCTTCCCCCATTTCATTCTGTCACTTATTTGCTTCGCCAGAGTCTCGGTGTCGACTCCCATCTTGGAGGTTCCATTCCTCTTGTCTCCCTCCCATCTCTTTCACAGCCCCGTTTCGCCAACTCGGTCTTGCATCCATCTTCGAGAACCCCTCCCCCGCAATCTCACTCCTTTCGGAGTGTAGATCTCTGACACGCTCTACACCATGACGCAGATTTCAGCTGGTAAATCAACAGGAGGTGTCCTCCAAATCCCTATCGCCGCGACACAGAAGAACACCACCAACACTGCCACCGCCCCCGCGCCAAAGAAGGCACCCAAACCGGTTGCACCACGACTCAAGCTCCTAGTGCGGAGACTACCTCCGGGATTAACGCAGGCAGAGTTTGAGACTGCTGTGGGGCCTGAATGGAAAATTGGAGCGGGAAAGATCGACTGGATTCAATATAAGCCGGGCAAGGTCTCTAAGGAGTGGGTGCCCGGCTAATTTGACTTGTGATATAGATTGTTGAGTGCTAATTTGGGAAACAGCCCAGCGAAGCCGTCGCGACCCTCGCGTGCCTACGTTCATGTTGTGTCCAGCGACCATATTATTCCATTCTCGAATAAGGTTCGTCAGGTATCTTTCACAGACGCCCGAAACACCTTCAACGATCCCATTTTGTTGGGCCCTCCCTCCGTGGAATATGCGCCGTATGCGAAAATTCCCGGAAGCCGTGTACGAAAAGACGCTCGCCAAGGAACTATTGACCAGGACCCCGATTTCATTGCCTTTCTCGAAAGTCTTACACAGCCTATCACCAAACCGCCTACGGTCGAGAATACCACTGATGCGGATGAGAAGAAGGAGACCGTGACCACTACACCCTTAGTGCAATATATCAAAGAGAAGAAGGCGAACAAAGCGAAGGAGAGTTCCAGCAAATCCTCAAAGCACGCCAAAGCGGATAAGGAGACCAAGGCAGAAAAGGTTCAAGCAAAGAAACTGTTACAACGGCCGGATAAGGAAACAGCACAGGCCCCGGAGAAGAATGAAAAGAAATCCAAGGCGGATAAAGCCACCAAGGACGCGGTGAGGGCAGCTAACAAACAGGCTGCCAATGTCGCCAAACACGCCGCAAAGGCCTCCGCGGTTCAGAACTCACCCAAGGACACCGGTCAGTCTACCCCGACCACGGAGCGCAGACGAGAACGGGGAAGCGCTGCGGCCGCAGCCAAGATCCTCCAGCGAGATTTAGGCCTAGCACCATCCGGCGGTCGCCGCAAGGGGGGCAAGGGCGGTTCGGCGGAGACGGACGCATCCAAAGCTGAAGCGACTAGTGCCGAATCGGGCAAGAAGGAGACCCCTCCGAAATCATCGAGAGGAGGCGCCTCGTCACAGAACGCAAAGGCCAAGGGCAACGTACCACAGGTCAATGAGTTGACATCCCAGTCCGAAACGAACACACCTCCCGCTAGCACTACGCCCATCTCGGGTAAATCTTCGAAATCAAAAGGGAAACAGGCACCGCCCGCAGCCTCTACGTCCACACAAGCTTTCCTCAAGCATGCCAATCCTTCGCAGGGGGTGACGGAGCCATTGTTAGAAGCGGCGTTTAAGACGTTCGGCAAGGTGGTGAAGGTGGAAATCGATAAAAAGAAGGGCTTTGGATATATTGATTTCGCAGAACCAGACGGACTACAAAAAGCAATCGCCGCCAGCCCGGTATCAGTCGCCCAAAGCCAAGTTGTGGTGCTGGAACGCAAGATTAACCCTGGTGGAGAGAAAGGTCGTGGCAAGAATCGCAATGAGCCTCAGGCTACCAGCGCTAATGGCAACAATAACAGCAGCAACAGCAATACCAATGGAGGTCGCGGGGGTAAAGTAACTGAGGGTGGCTCGGGATCGTCGCGTGGACGCGGCGGGCGATCGAAGAAAGGCGGTGGTGGTGGTGGGAAGGGAAGTGGTGGTAACGCCAATGCGAATGCGCCCGAGGGGACTGCCAAGGAGGCTAAATGATATTCATGAATTGTGATGCTGTAAGAAACGTTCATAGATACCCCTAGAGGAATAGTAATGCGCTACGATCTAGAAACTCGGCGACACACGCCAGTGGGAAACCTAAAGCATCATTCAAACGAAGCACGACGTCTGCACAAATGCGCATGACGGGGGTTCTACTCCAGATGGGCATTCCAGGGACGCTGTTGCAAAGCTACCTCGATGAAATGGTCTAAGTACATGGTCTACAAGATGTGGAGAATATGTGGAGAGGTTTCAGAGATAATCATTTCATTTGAGCAAATATGGGTATATAGAAAAAACTCCGAGGCCCGACCACCATTTCACCAACATAAAAGTGAAAAGGAAAATAGGAGCAAAACACCTTTCAGACCTCCTCAACACCCACCAAGTCCGACCGACCGAAGTCAAGACATCGAGACAAGGTAAAGATCATCACCACTCCCTGGACGGAAGGCACTCGAACAAGCTCACCGAAGCGAGTTGTTCGCAGACACCAGCCGTCGAGGCGGGAGTAAACACGGCTTCACTTTAGGGCATTGAGGACATAGAAGTCATCAGCAAGGGTGGAGATTCTGTAGCTCTTTAGAAGAGTTCAGAGGTGGGACGTCTACTCTAAAGTGATTCTTTGAACTGTAGGCAGGAAAGTTAGCAATCATTCTTCAATCGCTCATTGTTTTGAGCTGGAAATCCCAAATGTAGGGAGGGGAGGAACTTACGTAGAGTCGCTTAATTTTCGAAATGAATGGGAAACCGCCGGTATTTATACTCGACGCCTACTGCTAGTGCGCGCGCTAGTGGGAAGCGAGATCATGCGTGTTTGGCTTGTTTGTCTGCGCGCTTGTGCTCAATTGGCCAATGAACAGTGAGGAAGAGTTTTCAAGGCTCCACTTGTTCATCCATGGCTTGGCATAGTAGGTTCCTGGTGCTCGGTACTCTTGCTGTTCCGGCATCGATTCTAGCTGAGAATGGCGATTGGTCGACTTGCTCGCCTAGAAGAGATGCTCAATTTCATCTGGTTTGGTTCTCAGCATAAGGCTTTTTCGGCTCGTCGTTCGCTAAGCTATGCTATGTTTTGTCTGTTGCCAAATTGCCACCAGTTCCCATCGGGCCGAGTCTCGGTATGCCGATTTTCGTCGGACTACTACTCGATGTGGTCATGTGAAGTGATAGTGAAGTATAGTGTTTGCCTTTAGACGCTTGTTTGACGAATAGTGTATCATTTGTAATCGGCGTCACTGGCCTGTACAGATGACACACATGAAAGCCGCAAGGGTTTGCGCAACCACCGGAGTCGTCATGAGACCATGAGGTTTTATTAAATTTTGTAACCCATTCTAGGGCCAAACAGACATTTATCGCTCGATGTGTAGTTCCTCAGTATCTATAAGGTTTATCCGGTTTTGAGTAGGGTGACTTTCGTGATAGGCTGACGCAATCTCCTTGCGGTCGGTATACCTCCGGTCCAGTGAATATATATTTTGTAGCTACCGTTCCACCTGAATGCGACCGAATCCCCCAAAACAAACCACAGACTTGAGTATAGCGTACAAACTATTAAATTCAGTAACGGTAACCACTAGAGCCAGGCCCAAAATTTAAAAACCCTCACCAGATGTAAAGCTCGACGGTCACAAGTGATATATTGGTGAACGTTGGGGTCCATATTACATCTTATATCGCTTATCGCAAGCTTATCAGCTATCGATAAGACCAACCCCAAGACTGGATGTTTCTAGCAACTGACTGTGGTTATAGTGCATTAAGGAGCCAAGTAATTTCAACCTGCTAGTTGGATATGGCGCTCGGCTGTCATAGATCTCCCATGTAAGCGAGAGGTCGCCGGGGAAAAACTTCTTTCCTTTTTGCCTTTTTGATGACTCTCACATCCTGCTATATCGATATTCCAAACAAGTCAGAGTTTCTCGGCACAGCCTTCTCTCGCCTGGCATACATGAGCTTACCAACCCAACTCGACAGCAGTATACTCGCCGTTATTTTGTGTGAATTTAAAGGGTTTCTGATTTTGAGGAACACAAAGGTAAAACCAAGGCCACGGCTACAAGAGTTTGCAGGCCGTCGATGATAGCTAGCAATTGCTCTACAACCTGACTTAATAGTGGCTGTGTCCTAATGGTTACAGAGGACATTTGTTTACCCTTGTCGATAAAGAACCCCATACTAGGGGCTGCCAGCTCAAGTGACTGGCAGCTGTCAGTACTGATGCCTCAGGCACTAACAATAGACCACGTGATAGTATTATGGTGCCTGAGGCACTATAGATGGGAGGAATAACGCTTTAACAACCAATCAGAACATCAGAGACTTTGACCAATCAGCATTCAATTCTGCTCCTGCGACTGTGGTATTACCGCCGAAGAAATCAAGGCGGTCAGTGAAGCGGTAATAATAATGACGGCTTCCCGATCACGATTCACCATTCAGGCCTTATTATTCAGGCCTGAAACGATAATGTTATTGGAAACTGTTGGCCAGATTTCGGTTGGAGGCACGACCAAATACCTAAAGATATTCTGGTCGAGTGGCAGCACGCTCAACAAAAACCCAATACTTCTGCCTAGATGGATACGACGCTCAGCTGCGATAGAACATATCCTGTAATCGAAAGGGTACAGGCGATATGGAACAGTTCATTTCAACCATTGAGAAACAGGTCGGAAAGAGGGCGTCAGGATCTCCAAAGAAGACTCGATTTCTATTGCAACAGGGAAACAATTCTAGTACCGAATAGTTCTACATACATTACAAGTAAAAGAAGGGTACCTAACAGTAGATGGAGGTAACAACGCTTCAGTCGCCCGGTCCAAGCAGGAGAGTTGCCCGACGTCAAACCACGATCATGAATAGTCACAGAGAGCTCGCCCGACACTCTCCCAATTCCACCTTTAGTCTTTTGCCCCCATATCTCCATACCGTGCTTTTGCTCGGACATCTTTAGCGCATTTTCAAGATAGTCAGCGACATCACAGATCCCAGGCCATCGACGCGCAATGTCCAATGGTGTATCATTATTGAAATCTGTTGAGTCGATATGGTAGCCGTTCTCGACTAATAACGTAGCGATTTCCACACTGCTCGCCAGATGCAGTGGCGTACGTCCTTGCTCATTGATTGCAATGTCTGGTCGCAAGTTGAATTTGCTGAGAAGTAAGCGCAAAATATCAGTTTCATTGGCTGCCGTTGCCATGTGTACCAGGGTATCACCACTCAACATGCATTTGTATGTAAGGTCAGTCCTCCCGGAGGCAATTACTTCTCGAAGCAATTCCCAGTGGCCATGTTTGGCGAGGGTCAAAACGGGGAGATCCAACATGCTTCTGGTTTCCCCATTGAGGGATGTGGTTTTGCTCTGTAGTACCTCTATGACTTGTGTCTGTTGAAGTAGGGAAGCCATCATATAAGGTGTACAGCTCCTGGCGTCTGTGAGGTTGGGATCTGCGCCCAGCTCGAGCAGAATCTGTGCCACTTCACCTGCACGTGCGCTGTTCGAAAGGCTAGCATAGTGTAGTGGTGTCAATCCGCGTTCGTCTCGGGCGTTTATGTGATAGACATGGAATCTGTTACTCTGCGAAAGGGCCGAGTGGAGTAAATGGATAATCTCTGGGTGGCCCATTGCGCTCGCTGTGTGGATAAGCTCCTTTTCAGCTTGCAGGTCTAACCTCTCGCACTCGAGGAGGGTTTGTACAGCATCCAGCGCGCCCAGTCTGATGGCCCATATCAAGGTCGAGTTACCGGCGTTGTCTCTCATGTTTGGGTTAGCACCATTTCGCAATAACAATTTTACAAGCCCCGGGCGCCTGTATTCCTCGTAGCGGATCTCGTTGATATATTCGTAAGGTGGAATGTATACAGGGTCTGCCACAGTATCGATCATGCGGATAGAAACGCCCTCCTCTGCATATAACGCAAACAATAATGCAGTACAGCCATTTGAATCCTGAGTATCGACGTCAATTGATTTATGGCTCAGGAACACATTAACAAAGTCAAAATGGCCGTGCCCCACTGCAAGCATGAGGACCGTTCGGCTCCTCGTGCCTAATTTGGCATTGATATTGATCTTGCCTGTCTCCAGAAGCCCTTCAACAATTCTTTGCCGTCCCTCCTGTTCGTACTGCAGACGATCCGCACAAGTTAAACCACACATAGCGTCGACTATTGCCTCCTCCTCTACTGGGGTGTTGTGCTTCAATAATTCTGCTACCGTCTCGACATGGCCATTGAGGCAAGCGTACCGTAAGGGGGTACGGCTATATTTATGATCACGTACGCCAACATCATGGTTTTCAACAATCAGGAGGTTGACCATATTGGTTAAACCGAACCAAGCACAAAGGTGAAGAACGTCCATAGCTTCATGGATCCACTCCTCAGATACACCTGGACAGCACTTAGCGACTGCTTGTGTGAGCCATGCAAAACGAACAGGATCTTTGAGGAACTGAACCGCTGCATTCTCAATCCGTAGATCATTTGCTTTGCGAACGTGATCTCCCCAAAATTGTAGAGCGTAGGATAGAAAAGGATATGCAGCAATATTCTCATAATGTTTCGAAGACTGCTCATCCTGTAAGTACTTCAGGCAAAGCTTCGCCATCTTGTACTCTGCACGCTTTAAAGATGGATGATGGTCACTTCCGGCGAGCACGGTTGACAAGGTATAGTGGAAAAAACGCACAACAGAGTGCCACTCGTTGCCAATCTGTATGGTAATTAATCCGTTTGCTGACTTCAGAATGAAAACCCTGTCGACTAGGTTTGACTTGACGATTTGGCCTGAAGGGCTCTTGAGGGCCAACGCATGCTGTAATTGCGATATGGTTAGGGGCTGACAAGCTGTCATGACCAAGGCAAACGTCGTGAATGCTACATGTAGCTCGTTCGCTTTCTTGTACCTTCTGAGCTTCGCAATCCGTTCATTAATGTACGCGGTCAAAGGGTCCAGCGGTACGTTGTCCAAAAAGCACATCACCTGTTCGCCATTCTCTGGCTCCGTGTCACTTTCTAACAGGTTCTGTAGCCAAGCCTGCGCCATGATGAAACTGCTTTGGGCATTGCTTGCTATCTCCTGAGAAATGCGATTAATCAGCCCGGGCTTATCGCGCAGGTATCGCGCAACAGGCCGGGGATTATACTTCGGCGACGGATGCACGCGCTCATCCCGTCGATCACGGCCCGTTTTTAATGCCCGACTGATCATCTCGTGACAATATTCTACAAGTTCGTCATATTGAGCGCGTACCTCAATTCGCACCGTGTCATATGGCTCCTCGCCATTGTGTTTATTGGGACAGGCGATTCCTTGTTCCTTGCAGTCCAGGCACAAGTCAAATCGTCCATAATAGCAATCACAGTGAACATACATCTGAAGGTTTCGTCTGGGGCAGTGATTGCAATGAACCACTCTTTTAACTTCTCGGTATCCCAGCGAGGTAGTGAGAAGGCTCAAGGGAAGGCCATCCTGAACAAGCCCCAGGGCATAGTCCTTGATAAGCTCTGAAACCTCGGGGGAGCATTGATCCAGACCGTCAACTATAAGATATACGCGAACCTGTTTGGCCACTAAGTCCTGGAACGTCTGCTTCAAGATTTCTCTAGTCGAAAGTGCTCCATTGCCACGGCCCTGGTATGCCTCTATGAGCTCCGGTGGTATATCGACGTCGGGATTAGACAAGATCAGCTGCTTTAGCATGCTACCCAGAAGACGATCTGGTGTTTGTTTGGCTCGTTTATGTTCATCATCACTTAGATATAGATAGATGACTGGACTTGGTAAACGAAAAGCCGTTTGGAGGTGGTGAATCACTATAGCACAGAGATTGGTCTGCTCGATGAAATAAATTAGTAAAACCGATCATTACCGTCCACCTGATGACGTACCTTGCCTGTGCCAGCCTCACCGTAACATCGAAGTTGCCAGCGAGTCCCTCCGACCCAACGCCTGAATACATCGGATTCAAGAAGCCACTTTCCCGTTGGCACTGATCTGCCAAACAGCTCTTCCTGCTCGGTTTTAAAATCCAGTTTAGAGAGCCAAGATAGGATCTTATGGTGGCAATCGGTGACTAGTGTCGTACTTATCTTGTTGAATTCTTGTGCGACTACAATCAGAACCCTTTGTTAGTACATCCTACTTGCTATTCAAACCAGATGGGAATGCTGCCTCCTTCCATTCCTCAACTGGATACTACGTACATTGCTCGATATCTTTCGCCGCCGCTGTATCCTCGGCGAGTGTGCTGGGGGGAATCACCGCCAATAGATCCTTTGCATAAGCCGCAGCAGTTACAGCAGCATACGGCTGCCACTTCTTGCACTTATGAGTGCCCGCATAGTCCGAGATGCCCCGGATGGCAATACAGGGGAAGTGATCCATCAGACCCGCCGCTTCCTTCTCGAAGCAAAGTACTTTTTCGGACTTACGAAGCTCATCCCGAAACATCGGGTCTTTCATAGTGACGTCTGCAGATGCAATGAGCCCATAATGGACGGAGGGACCATCTTCCGGTCGCGGGGCGCGATCGACTATTTGTGTTAGGTCGCAGTTGCTGCAGTCCTCACCTTCGTCAGGATGGCGATACTCTGCCCGGAACAGCAGGTCATGCTCGCGACCCGGAAAGCCAAAATATGGCATATCCAGATCCCGGAGCTTGGAGATCGCCTCCTGCATATACAATTTCATGCACCCCTGCTTGAAGTTGTGGTGTGATTGGAGCGTATTTGCCGCCGTGATCAAAGTCTTTTTCGGTTTGTTCAGGTGGGATATAATTTTGTACCCTTCAAGGTACTTTTTACCCGTATCATACTGCATAATGCCGCCTAAATCATGTTCAACCACGCATTAGCCAAGTAAGGTTCGATAAGGTGTTTTAGACAGCGAGGGACTGGAGTCTAGAATACTAGCTCATCAACGTACCATAATTGCCCTGAGGCCTGCTGACAACAACATCTCCGAGCCGAATATCTCTCTTTCCCATGTAGGGATCGGGAGAGTCTGTGGCGCCCCCGCCAACACCTACCATCAATCCAAACCGGATCTGGGGAAACGTGCGGATCATGTTCACCGCAGTCTCAGCAGCATTGGCTTTTCCTTGGCCGATAGGTCTAGCAATGACGACGTTATGCTTCCCCATGCGGCCGACGATGTATGCGTTCTCATCGTGGGGGGTAGGTGGAGAGACGTGCAGTTCGTCTAGGAGAGCCCTGGCGGCATTTTGCTCGGCGTCCAGAACACAAACCCAGCCGACGGTGTAGGCGTCGCGAGTGAGAAGAATGCGATTTGAGCTGTCCATACTGCGGTGACAGGGCTGGTTAGTATGGACTAGACTCAAGGTGAATATGGAATATCGTGACAGAATGGGAGAGAGGTCCTAAAAGGAGTAGGGGATGAAGAAGAATGGGTGATGCAACATCTGACCGCCACTTATGAAACAAGTAAGCCCTAGGAACATAAGGAAGTGGCTCAGGGGTCGCCAGCAATGCTGAACCTCTAGGAGATTGTGAGTGAGGAAAGAACACTTACGACCTCCTCAAAGTTTGTGCTGTATGCAAGAACAGGCAGATGGGCCTGCCTTGCGCAGTAACGATCGCAAATTATCAGGAGAGGCAGACCGTGGCAGAATGAGACCGAATGAAGGCAAAATACTGTACTGTGTCCCTTTTCAGCATGGTTTTCTTTTGTGTCTCATATGTTTTTGTGGCAGTAAAGCAAGGCTGAAAGCACCCCTGGGTAACGTATGAGTAATGAGTGTTCGTTATTTATTATTAGGCGTCATGCTGTTGGTTTGGTTTCAATACTGAGACTTGTCTTGGTTGAAACTAAGATCTTTGGCTGTGGCGGACTCATCATACGAGGCTGAGTGCCTTCTACTCTGCAAACCGGGAATCTCCAACCCCGTGCCCGGGGGGCTTCTTGGGGGCTTCTTCGGGGCTTCTTGGGACCTGCCAAGGCCTGGGAGAGATGGAACAGACGAATGAATGATGCAGATTGGCTATTCTAAGAACTGAAACTCCGGGAGAAGTTGCATCAAGAGGAAATGCTAAGACAGCAGCTGAGGTGGAATCATCTGAGGGAGCAAATGCATCTGGCGTCTCACGACAAGGTATAAACCCTGATAACAAGGCGTTGAGTAGACAATCATCTAAATTATCCCCAAACGAAAACAATTCATTCTCAATCAGGATTCATGATGTGGCAGATCATTGGCATACTTGTGCTCGTGCTGATGCAGGTGCTCGCGGAGCAGCTGCCGACATCTTCCAACAATGCTATGACTCCCAACCCAACCATTTGCGGTGAAATCGTCAATAACGAGGGTATGTAATGAGTGAAGCAAACGGAATGATAGCTCCAGGCGCTGATTATGAGCAATTTACTTAGAAGTTTCTATTTTCGACGCGAGCCAAGCCTACAATTGTCTGACGAGCCTTCCATTCCACCCAGATATTGCCAGTCAACTTGTCCAATATGTCAATGACATGATTCAATTCCACAGTACGCTCGCCTATTTGGCCGATCCACCACAGAGCTACCAGCAGCCAGCCGTTGACCTCATGGCCGGGCTGTCTCAACTCCAACGCGATATTGATGATAACATCTTCCACAATGAATATGCCTTTGAGACGACTCTGAGCCACTTGATCCATGCTGCCCATGATGATCATCTTAAGCTGGTCGGTGGCGCACTTTCTCGATTTACATATGCAGCCCCTTACAGCATCGTGTCTGTTTCGTTGGATGGGGCAGAGCTGCCCAAGGTTTACATCTCAGGTTTGTACACAGAGAAGTCCAGGATGACTGTCACTGACACTAGCATTTTCCAGATGATTTATTCGCCAACCAAACGGGTAATCTTCGTTGGGAGCCCTCTGCCATCGCAACCATCAACGGTATGGATGTCGTTGAGTACCTGACGCAATTTGCTGCTGTGAATTCTATCGGAAAGCTCGAGCCTCATGTAGATTGGAACATGTTGATGCGAAGTGCGGCACTGGACATCTAAGCAAAGCGGGAGGTCTTTCATGGAGCTGCCACTTTCTACCCAGGTGAATTCATTACATTCACATTCGAGAACGGCACGACGCTCGGTCCTCTTCGTTGGAAGGCTTTATTCTGCTGCCATGGGGGTAATCGACCGCTGGAGACGGGGGACGACTTCTATAACTTTTTTGTCTTAGGTGGTTATCCTGAATCATACGACGAAAGCCCGGAGGCAGACCTGACGACTATTTCCAACCGAGCAGCCCCCATCCTACCTTCATTTGAAAACCCAGCGTATCCCTCAAAGGCTGATGTCATAGAGGAAAGCTACACTAGGGACGGGGGAACACTTCTAAGAGGTTACTTCTTGCATGATTCTTCCTTAGCAGTTCTCAGTATCCCACATTTTGACAGCAATACGCCCCAATCGTTCAGCAACGCAGTCAAGGAATTTCTCGCACGCAGTACCAATGCAGGTCTTAAGAAAGTAGTTATTGATGTACAACAGAACCCGGGTGGAAGCCCTCTACTAGCACTTGAGGTCTTTAAAACAGTGAGTTAACGCTGCAACTCGCTCAGCTCTGTTGCGTCTTCGTTCCTAACTGACCCACGTTTCCATATAGTTTTTCCCTTCCATTACGCCGTGGGCTAGCAGTCGCCGACGTGTTCATCCAATGGCAAACGCTCTAGGTTCCACCCTAACGACCTACTGGCAAAACCTCACCATGGATCATCCGGAGTATTACACGTTAATCCCTAACGAGTGGGTGGTAACTGGCCGGCTGGACTCAGATACTGGGAGGAACTTTACCTCGTGGGATGATTTTGTCGGACCAACCGACCATTATCGTGGAGATGGCTTTACAAAGAAGGCAAGCAACCCGTTACCCGTTCTTTGATGGAATACACAGCGCTGACAGAGGGGGAGCTTAGGAGCAGTACAACTTATCAAGCACCTCATTTACCATGGAGGCAGCTGGAATCGAAATCGATGAGCATGATAATGGTCAGCCATATAAACCGGAGGATATCGTCATACTAAGCGATGGGATTTGCTCATCGGCATGCGCACTTTTCATGGAACTCATGCATCATGAAGCAGGAGTACGAACCGTCGTAATAGGAGGCCAGCCCAGCTATGGGCCGATGCAGGCACCGAGTGGAACCCGCGGCGCAGCAGTTTACAAGGCTGAGAATATGCATCAAGACATCGATCTGGCGCGAGACATCGACAACTCGATGCATGTGGACTTACCCAACCGCGCGCATGCATTCTTCATCACTACCGCCACAGTCAACCTCCGGGACCAGGTCCGGCACACTGATACCTCCGCCACTCCCTTGCAATTTCTCTATGAAGCCGCGGACTGCAGAATATTCTTTATTCCCGAGACCTGGTACAACTACACCAACCTCTGGAAGTATGCTGCAGACGCGATATGGCAGAAACCAGCGCTTTGTGCCAAAGGCTCAAGGACGAACCATACCCAGTCCAATCATCCTTCAGTGCCAGGCAAATCTTACAATGCAAGCAGTACTCTGTCAAATCTGGCGGCCTCTCAATCAGACGAACAACCCTCAAGCATACAAGACAAATCCAACTTTATCCTGGACAAAGACGAGCCAGTAGTTACGAAAGAGGGATATGCATGCCAGAGCGACTATGATTGTTCGCTTGGAGTTTCCGGAGCATGTTGGGAAGTCGACGTTTGTATAACCGAGTTGAGAAAAACGACATCGAAACAACCCCGAGGCTTTATGAAACCTAAAAAGCAAAAGCGATGTGTCACAACCTGCACCCAGCAAAACGGGAACCGTGATTGCTCTGGTGGGAGAATTTGCCTTAACGGTGGTTATTGTGGAGTCGGTTCAGCCCTCTGCAATGGCCTTGCGTCTCAGTACAACAGTGCCAATTACTTCATTTGCTATGGCACGTATGACACTCTTACGTGCTATGATAGGAACTGGAAGATAGTGAGAACAATGGCAGTTGAGTACCAGATGCCTTACTCGGCAAGCTCCCCTGTTCTCTATGCTGATGGAATCCATAAGTGTTGTTGCGGGGACAGAAATCGTATCTGCATGGACAACTCCAAACCACCCTGTACACCAACGAACAACAGGCTTGTTTGTGTTTGCTCAGACAACCAGAGTTGTCCGTTGAACAAAGCGAATTGATAGATTGTGTGCCCCCAGGCGGGGTGCATCTTGGGTGAAATGTTGGGCAGCGAAGGAACTCGGTCTAGAAGGTCCTATAGGCGTGGAATAATTACATCATGGATAGAGATTTAGAACAGGCAAATGAAACAGACGTTGTAACCATATGTAATAACAGCTTCAAGAATCTGACTTGAGTCGACTAGAGCCACCATATGCATATCGTCAAGCTGCATCTTTGCATCCTTTAGGTCAAATGCAAGAAAGGGCTTTATCTATCTGGTGATTTGGGAAGTACGCTAAACTCTCAAGCTAGAGTAATTAGACCGAGTGAATATGCCGAGAGACAGCCTATTTTCCTTGAAATATATATGCACCAATATAAATAATATACTGATATCTTCGCGTATTCCAAAATGACACAGACAAAGCGTCTTTGAAGCGAAGGTTGCCATGTACGATTGAGTTCTGGAGTCTTTGAAATTTCCCTTTCTATTAAAGATCTAGGTGTGACTAGAACGCTTGGGCGTTGCCCAACTTGCCCGATCAGAACAAAGCGCCCGTCCTGTGCCGTCCTCGATTCCAGGGATTCAGTACTCTGGAGAAGGAATTGATTTTTTGACCGGGCAAAACGAGAGCTTTGGGGTGATCCACTGAGAATAGGTTAAATAGACCACAAGAGGACCGCCTGGAGTTTAGCTCTCCTACAACTTCTTGCAAAGTAACCATCGGTCTACCTTTCACATAGGAGCTATGAAGTTATTCCTGTCACTTCTTTTCTTGCCCCTGGCAGCTTTGGCTGCCAATGAGCCCCCACAGAAACCTCAGATTACCGAAGAACCCAAGGGTGGCAAAGATAACAAGACTACCGTTGATCACAACCAGGGTGGGGTTTTGGCTACTTGTTATAATCTCAGTGTAGAATCTCTGAGAGAGTACAATATTCTATATGGCGGGCCATCCTGGCTGTATGGAAGCTGTCAACAAGATGATGGCAGCCAAATTACCAGCCGCTTAGAATTGGATTGGTGTTTCAGTTGGGATCTTGATAATATACGACCAGTAAAGGAGTATGTGAGGATCTTCAGCTCTATCAGCAGCTTTATAAGTATTCTTAACTAACTTTCGATACTAAGGGGGGAAGGATTTAGGGACCAGTGTTCCTCCTGTGCTCTTGATGGAGGAGCCCTGAAGTGTAATTGTGAGAGTAAGTCTTCCCTCTTGATATACCTTCTAGAACTGATGAATTTATGAAATAATCCAATGAAGGATACGAGACTACTGTCTCTATTGATCTTAGTCTGTCTCCTATCTCATCCCAAAATCCTGGCTACGCACCCCTACTAACAAAAGACCCATAGATCAAACAATCTCCAATTATGATGGTTATCTGAGTTGTTTCGGTCTGAAGGGTAATAAACGGTGGTAATGTAAGTGTCTAGGTCTTCCCGAGCAAACCAACTGTCACCGTGTTTAGTGCAGAGCTGATACTTTACAAGATTTCCAACTATCGGCACTGGGGATGGCTATGCTGCAGTGAGCAGACTAGCTATGTTCCAGTCAAATCGGGTTATTTTCTTTTTCTGAGTCCCCTGTAGTACAAATGTTAAACCTTTTAGAGAATTCTTGGAACAGCTCTGTAGCGTAGTATACTATAGGTATATCCCCTAGAAGACTGTCTTATTGTATTGGTGAAGCCTTCAGCCTAGAATATTCATTATTCTATTGCCGTGTGGTTGTAAGATAGTGATAGACTAAGGAGTATAAGCAGTCAAATTAGCTAACTAATCAACATCCTTGAGATTGTCCCAACATCATACAAATATGGATATTGCCCAACTTGCCCGACTTGCCCACATTATTTACTTTGCCCGACTAGAACAAAGCGCCCCAAACATAAAGCCGACGGGGCGTTTGGACAACTGCCAAGGCCATGGAAGAGTTCTCGAGAATGAGAGAAACTAGATATAAACGGACCCCTAGCTACATACTACCTTGTTATTTACTCCAAAAGATTCACTAGTTCATCTTCCATCTGCTGCCATGTATCGATTCCTGCCTCTTATCTTCTTTCTCCTGGCAGCTTTGGCGGCCGGTGATGAGCTCCCAAAGGGTGGATCTAATGGCGTGTACTCTGCTTGCGCTAATGTCAGCGTGCAAAAATCTTCAAAAAATGGGAAATTCTGGGCGACCGCCGTTTGCCCAACCCGTGATGGAGGCCAAATGGAAAGCCATTTGGACTTGGATCGGTGTTTCACTATCAACAGGAACAGCTCCGCCATAAAACCAGAAAAAGAGTATGTGGGAAGCTTTGAACCTGTCACTAGCATTGTGAATACTTTGATAACTTTTAGTAAGAGGGGACGGATTTTCAGCATATTGTCTTGCGTGCAGCAATTACCCCAGGCTAGCTTCAGGGCAACTTGGACCAAGCACGAGGTGTTTATGTCGCGATTTTGCCTTTTGGAAACAAGTGCCTTCGGATCTTGTTACATCCACGGGCTTATATCCACTTTCTGTCCCTTTGGATCTCAGTAGGTCCCCTAGTTTGAACCCAAACCTGGCTGTGTACACTTACTAAAGGAAGGCCTATAGATGGAACCGTTCATAATGATGATGGTGTGCTGAGTTGCTTTGGTCTAAAGGGGGATCACGGGCCACCCCCAAAGCCTCAGGATATCCCGACTACCAAGGAACCCAAGGGTGGCAAAACGAATGGGACTTCCACTGATGACATCTCTAGCACAGAGGTTGTACTTTTGGACACTTGTGTTGCTCCCGAACTGGTTCATGCCAACACGGACGATGGTGCGCCAACCGGATTAAATGCACGTTGTTACGGATATGATGGAAGAGACGCCAGCAGTTACTTAAATTTGGATCACTGTTTTAGCTGGGACATCGACCATATACAGCCAGAACAAGAGTATGTGAGAAGCCTTGGATCCATTAGCAGTTTTGTGAGCAGCTTAACTAACGTTTAGCAAGGGGAATTGGATATGGGGCACAATGTGCTGACTGTGACCTTCACGGAGACGTTATGACGTGTGTTTGTGGCTCGTGTAAGTTTCTATTCTGATTTTTCTTTTTCAAGGGAGACATCTTCTTGTACTAATAGGTTTATTAATATTTAGATAATGCTACTGTCAACTTTAATCTTAGTTAGTCTTCTCTTTTAGCCCCAAATCCTGACAGTGTAGCCCTACTAACGAAAGACCTATAGAGGGAACCGTTCATATCAATGATGATGGTTACCTGACCTGTTTCAGTCGAAAGGGTGACAAGCATCTACCCCCGGCCCCTATGGATGCCCCGAGTGCAAAGAGTCTCAAGGGTGGCTTTTACGACGATTGTAATCTGATGACTGTGGAACACCCACAAGGCGAGTCAGCCCGGCTAATAGCAGCATGTTACACCAAGCAGGGATTTGTGATGACAAGCACGTTGCAACTAAATCGCTGTCTAGCCTTCAGTGAGGACGATGGATTACGACCAAAAATAGGGTAAGTGGGAAGTGTCGAACCTGTTAAGAGCTTTGTGAATATTCTGAATAACTCTATAAAGTGGAAACGCATTTACAGAGCACTGTCAAAACGCTACCCTCAACATTCAGGGGGTACATGATAAAGAAACTCCAGCAATGATGGGGTGTTACTATGGCGAGAGTAAGTTTCCTCTCTTGAAGGATATATCTTCTGATACTGACCAGTCTTTTCTTTTCTTTCTTTTTTAAAATATATAGATCGCAGGTTATATACGGTTAATCTTAGTAAGTCTGCCTCTTCACTCGAATTTCAGGTGGCGTACCCCTACGAACAACTGGCCTATAGATCAAGTGGTTTACAACGATGAGGGATTACTGAGTTGCCTTGGACAGCAGGGTGAGCCAGTAAGTGTCCATCTCTTCGCTAAAGGCTAAACCCGTATAGTATTAATGTCTCCCTTCAGATTTATTTCCCCTGGCCCTGGTAGTATGCTGCTCTGCATGGCTGTTTGAAAGGATTCTGTAAAGGGTTTAATATTGGTGGTGCTAGAGGGGAGCCAATAGCTGTGAAGTAGATAGACTGAATATGTATACAATCACCTTTGAGAAAAGAACCTAAATTGAGGTTTGATCCGAAGGCTATATGGAGTAGGCTCGTGTAAGCTGGCCAAATCGGTTGATCATCCCTTTTTATTCCATCACTGTGTGGTGGTGTTACGATAATGCGAGGCCATACCGCATCAAATTCAAAATCAAGTTCCTAACCAACGAACTAGAGATCATACAGATATACTATATATAGATGTTGCTCTCACCCAAGTTGCCCGTCTTGCCCGGCTTGCCCGACTCGCCCACCTTGACTACTTTGCCTGACTAGAACAAAGCACCCTGTCTTGGAACATCGTTTGAAGATCAAGCCGACAGAGCCTTCTGATAACTACCAAGCCATAGTAGCCATAAAAGGACCCCCAGACCCATATCACATCCCACTTCCTACAAGATAACTGTTGGTTTATGTTCAACTGGGAGCCATGTATCGACTCTGGCCTCTTGTTTTCTTGCCGTTGGCAGCTTTGGCAGTTCCCGATGGGAGCACTTGGTCTGGATTTATGGGGGATTGCCATGACATCTCTCTCGTCGTAAAGACTGATGATACCTATAGCGTCCCCACGCTGTTGGCAACATGCAAAAGAAGGTCAGACGGCGAGAGAAAATCCGAACTGCCGTTGGATAGATGCTTGGCATATTCCCCTTCGAAGGGATTGTATGGAAGATCTATGTGTGTGGGGCCTTCTGGATTGATTCAGTGCTTTATTAATACTTCGAATAGGGGAAGGGCATTTGAGCACTACTACTGCTACGATTGCGTCGTCCCCGGCCCTGAACCTGGGGTGATGGCATGTGAATGTGGAACGGGAGGTAAGGCTTGCTCTTGATGATCATGTTTTCCAATATTAATGAATGTATTAAAGACGCACCGCTCATCCCTCACGTCGTTAATCTCAGTAAGTCTCCTTGCTTGACCCCAGATTCTGGATTTATGCTAGTGCTAATGAAAGAGCTACAGATCAGATCATCGGCACTTATGATGGCTCCCTGGCTTGCTTTGGCAAAAAAGCTCTTCCAATAGAGAAGGAATTTCGGTGGAGTGGTCATGACCAAAAGAATAACAGTTCAACTTTCGCTCGATGATTACGAGGCACTCGCTCTGCGGCAGATCGAATACGAGTTATCCTTCCTATGAGTCAACCTTCTGCCCCACAGACATGAATCCATTGACTCATTCTCCTGAAAACCACTTCCTCCTTCTGTCGTAAAAATATGTGCTGATCGTCTAAGATACATGCGGCCCCGTAAATTGTGTGACCAAAGCTATCAAGTCACATCTATCAGGCTGTCTGATACCTGATCGGTCTTATAACTGTGTTGTAACCTGCCTCCCAACAGACAACCATCGAATACATTATTAGCGGGGACGTGTAAATGAAGATACAATGGCTACGAAGAACCCAACCCCCCAACCCCTCCGAGCGATCCGGGCCAAATCCACTGGATCCACGATCACAGTTTACCAAGCCTTCTCCCCCGAAATCGCCGAACCTGCTCTGAGGGCCCAGAAATTCGTACCTCCATTCTCGCGCACGCGCATGACCTGGATCAAGCCCTCCTTCCTCTGGATGGCTTACCGCTGTGGCTGGGCCACCAAACCGAGCCAAGAACGTGTTTTGGCGATCGAGATAACCCGTGAAGGCTTCGAATGGGCCCTGAAAAGATCCTGCCTCAGTCATGTACCTGGCACCCAGGACCAAGAGCAAGATGAATGGCGTCAGCGTCTCCGTAAGAGTCCCGTCCGTGTACAGTGGGATCCGGAGCGAGATCTGTGGCACCGGCCACTAAGATATCGATCCATTCAGATTGGGATCAGTGGGGAGGCGGTTGAGCGATACATTGATGAGTGGATCGTTTCGATCACTGACGTGACGGGTCTGATGGAGGATGTCAAGAGGGCCTTGGATAGGGGGGATGTCGAAGAAGCCGAAGGCCTTCTTCCGGTCGAGGGTGCTTATCCTCTGTCGGAGGAGCTGCGAGACATATTGCAAGCGACGTAACACGGGATCGGATGCTTGGTTGTTCTTCCGCAGAATGTACTCGTAGTTGTTGCGACGTTTATGGAGTGTCTCAGGCAGGACAACCAGAAAGTTATAAGATGAAATACAAAGATTTTCTCGCAGAGAGTTTCAATTACTTGATCTAAGGGATCCAGAATTATAGCGAACAGAAGAAAAAGGAACAGAAATGAGAAGAGAAGAAAAAGGCGTATGCAACCCCAAAAGCGGCTGGTGGGGAAAGGTTACGTTCACCAAGTTCTCAGTAGAGGTTATGGATTCGTAACCAGAGAGGCCTACGGACTGTTTGTAGGTTAATTCATGAGTGTTACCGAAAGCAAATGTATACTAAATTTGTAAGCTCCCATGCGACGCAACAGCCGAGCTTTTACACTACATCAGTCTTCAATACATGAACGACATGTCGCCGAGAAACGCCTTTCCAGCCTAAGTCGACGATCAATAACAGCGAGTCAGATAGTCTTCCGATACTCATGCAATCTCGAGAGCACGTTGGCACCGTTCCACAGCTCCTCCCCTCTATCGCTACTTTTCTCCGGCATACCCACCTGCTCCACCGCAAAAGAAGCTCCAACGGAGCCATAGCAAGCTGCCTAAACGAGACTTCCCGTCTGCAGATACCCAGCAGCAAATGCCCCGAGAAATGCATTACCAGCGCCAGTGGGATCGACTACCTTAGCGTGCGGGGTATCTCCAGGTCTAGACCGATAGAACGGCGGTAGCCAGATAGGAGACGTATCGCGAGCTATAACGAGACAGCCATGCTCACCTGCTCGGACAATTACTGTACCCTTTCCGTCACGGCCCACGCCGCTGTCCAAGAACCGCAGTGCCTGGGCCTCGATCTTATCCTTGTCTGCAACGGCTGGTCGCGATTGCCCAAATAGTGCGGCTAAGTCTAGGTGATTTGGGGAGAACACATCGACCATACATACGGCGTCTAGGCAGCTTTGCAAATTTTCCGCTGTACACGAGAATGGGGCAGGTTCCCAGATAATGAGTGGGCGTTCTGGTACGCCTGACTTTTCCCTAAGCACAAGGAGACTGGAGAGACGGATCGTAATATTTTGAGGCGTTTCAAGATAGTGATATGCCCTGGATGTTAGGAGTGGTGTGTTCTTCAAGCTGCTATCCTGAATTGCGAGGATGGGCGTTGTGTATTTGAACTCCTTGGCTAAAAGATTGGTTAGCTAGAGTGACCTGGATCGTTAACAACACCCAGTAAGCTGGTGACGAGAAACTTGTGTCGGCAGTAAGGAAGGGAATAATCGGATTTAAATGAATAAAGGTATGTCATACGTCCAAATGTAGTATCTTTGTATTCAAGTAAACCTCTAGTCGAAGGTTTATTTGATTCCCTGTCTACGACCAATGCTACATCCCAGCTTTGCAAACGGTCTTCGATGGGCCTCGGAAAGTCATTTCCTACATGGATCATCCAACCTAAAGAATGGCTTCGTGGATGAGGAAGAAACAACCGGGCACCGAGTGTCGCTATAAATACAATGCTACATTAACAATTCAATGACTCGCATGAGATACAGAGCAGGAAAGCCCACCGTAAGCGCCGGAACCACCCAGGATGTCAGTTAATGCTTTCCTATGGGGAAGGCGGATCTCGTCAAGTACCACTAAGCCTCGGCTCGTGAAGGAGATGTCATGTAAGTTCATGATGTCCGAGGATCTAAACTATTTGTGTAGGAACAGGAGCGAACGGAAAAGTTGTACAACTAGACTTAGGAATGGAACGCTTTATGTATGGTTTCAGAACACCTGTTTGAAGAATGCAGGAGATTGAAGATGATTATAAGAGCGATATTTATCGGATAATAGCCTCTGGCATTCCGCTTTCCTACTTGAGGAATCTTTTACCAGATAGAAAAAAAAGTGCTCCCAGGCGGGATCGAACCGTCGACCTCCAAGAGACGCATACAACCTAGTACAAAGTACAATGGTCATATAAGCTTGATGCTCTAGACCAACTGAGCTATGGGAGCGGGTTTTGGTGCAAGTCTCTTTTTTAGTTTATAAGGCCTTCAATCATTATTCACGCACTTGACATTCTGAGCGGAATATCTTCCACCTACTATAGTAGCCTTTCGTTGTGGGCTCATTACCCAGCCCCCTTCGTATCCAGTGTTTATTGGGCTCTTTCAACTAATTCTGCATCCTTCCGTCTTGGCATGGATTTCTTTGTTTTGGTGGCGCCTATCCTCCGCCTCTTGCCGGCCTGACGCTCCCCCATTGCTGGTGTGCACACATACTATTTGTCCATCTCCTCTGCATAGATTCCTCTTTAACTTCTGCAACTCGTCTGACTACTGCCTTGCCCCTTTAGACCTTCCGAGCACTAGCCTGGACCCTGTTACATTCTTCAACTTGTCTGCTGGGTGGGCTGACGAAGGTCTATTCGCCAGCCTGTCTACCGCTACACCGACCCATAAGTTGTACAGTTGGCGGAGGGATTAATCTCTCATAGACTTTCACTTCCTTTGTCTTTTAAAGTTCGTTGCCACTCGGGGATATGCGAATTTCTGGAAGCAAAAGGGAGTCTTCTGGTCAGGTGTCACCGTCGCCTTTGGTTTCATCCCCCGGGTTTTCAATGCCGGGCTAGGTACGGCATATCTAGTGTAATAATTGGTGGGAGAGGCTGTGAGGGCAGGTAGCTCACGAACACCTGAGGCAACCCGGGGAATATCCATGCAGTTAGCCGAAAATTCGCAGCACGTGAGTGATGTAGAACCCTCCTAAGCCACGACCATTCAATCGATTCGCGACCAGGGCTGATTTGTTACACGGAGCCATAGGATTCCCCGGACTGCCGGTAATGGCCCTGTCATTGGTGTGCCTCAATTGAAAGTGGCAAAAGGCCGCTGTTTATTGGCGCCACGGCTGGGAATACCATAAACGGCATCGTTGACTCCATTGACAAGATAGGGGTAATTGCCAGGAAGGCGAACGCCTGGTTTCATGTGGATTGCCTTCTGAGCAGGAGTGGATGCAATTTCAAACAATCTGAGACATACCAACAAAGAAAGTTTGTATGCTGACAGGATTGCCTTCCAGTGCTCTCAAAATGTTGACTGCCTATCGTTTGTGCCTTTCTGCTAGGAATACGATATGTGGACCTTCTGACTGGCCAATACACTGAACTTGGCATACTTGCTCCACGATGGAGCCAGTGGAGATAGCCACGGGATTGACCGGAGATCTGCAAACTCTTGGGTGATGCGCTGTGGTGGCTGATATTTGAGACCTGGTCTCGCTGAGGGTACCACGTTCTCCGCGGACTTATGCAACCAAGCTATCCCTGCACTGAATGGGATATGGGGCTGAAGACATCGCCTGGGAAGTCAGACAAGCTGTCGATAGCTCAGTCTAGCCAAAGACTATCCGCATCTAGAACTGCTCTGAGACACCGAAAAAGTCTTCACACAGATTTGGTCTTATTGGAGGCCGAAGAGGGAAGAATATGAGGCTCCCTGAGGACCTTGTCGATGATGTACTGCGACATGATTTGGATCTAACGCAATGCTGGGTTTGGGAAGAGACTGATACAGGTTATACAGCTGATTTTGCAGACAAGAAGCCTAAGTAATAACAGTAAATATAGCTAACTAAGTAAATAACACTGCTGACAAATCCAAGATCAATAGGCATGAAGCAGAAGCAAGTCCTGTCACGGGAATACGCAGCACATGATTGGTTCGGCCCTAGTTCACATCCGATCCTGGTCGCATCATAAGCTAGGGTTTGGTATACTCGTACTGACCACATAAACAGGTATATGCTAGGGACTATTATTCATCTTGCGTATAGCTCTGATTGCACACATCGGATGTTATAGAATGTAAAGGGCTATTGCCTTGCAGAGGCCCAGAGAGGAATGTGACAGGGTTCGCGATCTGAATATAGGTTTTGGATTGATGATCTAAGTAGCCTGGTACGTAATTCTTCATAGGTAATAAGACTAGGCCTTTTCAGCATAGTATAACGGCTATTCATCATCTAGATAACCTTTATGACTTCTGAAGCCTTTTACAAGAGGACCAGCCAAGCAGGCCTGTAGGTTTTAAGGGCCGAGGGTCAGCTACTGAGACGAGGAAGCATTTTAAAGATGAAGATTCAAGCCATGCCTCATGTTTACCTCAGCAGAATAGTCGTAGGTCGTCTTCCTTGTAGAGATATATAAACTAACTATCGCTGTACTATATCAGAGTTATCCTATCATAAACAAATCATCATTGAAAACACATCTCAGCGCGCAGCCATCTGGTTAGTCTCAAGATGGATTTTCAGATCACCAACGGTCGGAGTTTCCAGGAAGAAAGAGCCTTTCAAATCAACGTTTAGCTCAAGAGCAAACTTCTCTACGAGAACTAGCGACAGAAGTGAATCGACCCCAACAGCAGAAAATTCTGTTTCGTCTGTCAGGGCATCCAGCTCTACCCCGGTCTCAGACGCGATGAGGGCTATAGCATCACGGACAAGCTGGCTGTTGGCTTTAGGCCATGGTACCGATAGTGGAGGTTTGGGTTCGTTCTCAGGAGTAATAAGCGACGTGTTCTCTGAATCATCTTGCTGCGACTGAGTGGACTCTGTATTCGTGGCTGAACTCGTGTGTTGCAATGTTGAAGGGGCTGCAGTAGAAGGGTCTTGCTGAACCGTTTGCCCATACTGGCCATCTGGGGGGTCGAAGAACCGACTCATGAGAATGCGAGGTAATGGGCGAAGCGTCATCTCGTGGACCCTTCCAATCACATGGTCCTCATGCAAGATATACACGTCGCCGGAATAACATCCAGAATTATCATTGGCAGGATTCATCTTAACGTACGAGCGATACATCTCTCCCGCCACCAATGCATCGGAGAACTGCATGGATTCCCAGCCGTCCATGACATAAATTGTGCTGGTGTGATCCGTGGCTGGCCCGGCGTTCAGAATGAGACCCCCGACATGCGTCATGGGGTCGATGTGATGAGGAGGTGCTGTCCACCGGCTATCTTGGCTTGGGGACAGAATGACATCCGCAACTGCTTCCAGGCCATACATAACAACAGATTGGATGCCACGGTAATGTTCACCGTAGTCGACGACGTTCTTGAAGAGTGTGTACACCAAGTCCTTAGACACGCGGCTTGCTGACCCTTGATCTGCTAGCTGATGCAGCGCTTCAATGCGGCTTGTCAGGAGGTGCGAATAAGCAGCCCATTCATCGCGCCATGACTGGGAGTCTCCGCACGTCACAACACCGATGGCTAGTTCCTCCTCGCTTGAGTTATCCTCGAGAACTCGATGCAATGACAGCGGCATCGAAGAGCACGTGGGATCTGCTTGCATACGCATTCGCACGTACTGAGGCTTAGACCTATCCTTCCGGGGTATTAAGCCCCGGAAGACCCGAACTTTCCCAAATTCCAGGGCCGGGAGCTGTGGTCTTGGTTTTAGCCTGGAGAACATATATCTCGCCATGGCCAGAGCGATGTCAGTGTAAGCGAACTGAAGATGATTGTCAGTCAAAGAATTGTCCAGCGATTAGCTACAAGCAAGCATGGCACTTACCACCGAGAGGAGTGGTCGACCACTCATTCTGTGTCCCGAAGCAACAGCAAAGAAATCATCATCAGTCATATTTGACTGGATGACGATGCTCCCACCGTCTGCCCCGAATGATTCTTCCAGAATTTGGTGCACGAGGGCGGTGCGCAACGATGGGGGAGCAGGGATTGGAAAGCTCTCATTTTCAGCCCTAGACCGTTTATCTTTCAGCAACAGCCAATCCCCGCTATGTTGAATCCAATGGTTCTTCAGATTCCATTGGTACGGAGGCACATTTAGTAGGCGTAGTTCCGACTCAAAGGGTTGGTACCATGTGTTCCAGTCAAGGAGGACGCCCGCGCTGTGCAAGGCCGACATGCTGACAGCTAACGTATGCCAATTGCATTCGTCAGATCTTAAGCTGGGTACCATCACCTCAAGATTCGGGATGTTCGCGCGCATGATACCGGTATATGTTTGATGCACTCCAATCTCAACCCAGACAGTCTTAGAGTCTACCAACCCCATCTCTTGGGCTTTCGCCATCGCATCGGCAAACCGTACAGTACCCCTCGTGCTATCACACAGATATGATGGTGGAAATGACTTTTTGTCAAATATAACCTCACCCAAAAGAGGCGATATGAGTGCTGTTTTTACATTCCGGAACAGAACCGACTGGGAAATCCTACTATAAGCTTCCAGGATAGGCTCCATTTGAGAAGAGTGAAATGCAAAGGGCACATTCAAGTTAGCGACCCGATATCCCTGTGACACCAAAGTCTGTTGGATGTCCTTGATCTCTTCGACAGACGCGGCAATGGTCACATCTCGAGGCCCATTGATACATGCGATTTCATATACGTTGTTCCGCACCGTGTGACGAATCTCATCAACGGTCGCCTTGACGGCAAGCATCGAGTGACTGTTGATGGTACACAAATCCTGCATTAGCCAGGCCCGTTGCCCGACGAGATAGATAGCGTCACTGGCTGATAAGGTTCCCGCAGCATAGAGTGCAGCGTATTCGCCGAGGCTTGCTCCTATAACAACATTCGGCACCGCCCCAAGGCTTCTCCATAAGCGACACAGCGCGATCTGCACACATACTGTCACCAGCTGTGCCACGA